CGTGAAAAACCATCCTTAACTCAAGGGTTGTACAAAACCAGGTAGAAATCAAGATTTAGCTTGCAGGCTTCAGTTTGGGGATCTCTGACCTAGATTAAAACTGAGACAGCATGGCTCTCTAAACAGGTCCAAGTGTCAGCCACCTGGGACGGATTGCCTCATCATTGACAGGGTACAACATTCAGAACATGAAGAGGGCTTCCTATAAGAACTGATATTTAAATACCCTGCCATGGCATCCAGGAGACCAGGCAGGTGGCTCCTGATGTCTGGTTGGTGGTAAGGGTGGTGCAGACGCTAGAAGTGACTTGGAACCAGGCCGACTTGGATTTGCACCTGGCTCTGCACTTGCTAGTCGAGTAGCCTTGAGCAAGTTACTTTTTCTCTTTGACGGTCAGAATCTTCATCTATAAAATGAGAATAAGAATTCCTCCTTTATTGAAAGTAGGTGATATATTTCTTGGTAATAAAAACAATTATATGTTGCTTGGAACTGTAGGGTTTAGTAAAAGGTAGCTCGGCATGTATATTTATTATACTCCTGACCAACTCTATTTTGTTCAGTGGTGCTTTTAGATTGCATAATATTTCATCCAATAACTCTTTTATGGAAAAGCCAGGAGCTGTTTCTTTTAATCATTGTAAAATATATAAAGCACAAACGACTGTATAAAACAGTATATATGTTATATGTATAATTTAAAGAATAGTTGAAAAATACCCAAGACCACTAACTCTGCTTATGAATTGGAATGTTACCAGATGCTTTGAAGTCTCCTCTGTGACCCTCCCACAAAACCTCCCTCCCTTTCCTACAGTATTCCGAATTTGGGGTTATTCATTCTCTCCTTTTGCTTTTATAACTGTACTTCATATGTATCACTAAGGAATACATTGCTTTGTTTTTGCCATTTATATAAATTAAATCACACGCTCTTCTTGTCTCTCAATTTTCCCCATCAACATTATGTGCTTGCGATTCTTCCACTTTGACGCGCATAGCCGTCTTGTCGGTCTTCATTTTTGTTTCCGTATAATTAATTTTCTCTCATAGGATCATGTCACATTTTATCTATTCATTTTCCTGGGGCTAGACACTGAGGGTGTTTGTAGGTTTTTGCTCTTACTAAGTTGCCATGACTTCTTGAATAATCCCCGTGGGTGTCAGCCCAAGTGTGGAACGTGCTGGGGCACCAAACTGGCACAACCTCACTTTTCTAAGAAGTTGTAGCCCGTTTGCTGAGGGTTGCCTCTGCTTACATTCACACCAACAGTATGTGAAGTTCCTTTTTCTTCTTTCTTTCCTTTTTGTATGACCTCGTATAAGTTGAAGTATAACACAGATTCAGGAAAGTGCACAAAACGTAGGTGTAGAGCCCAAAGAATTATTACAAAGCAAGCACATAGCAACCGCTACCCAGGTGAAAGAGAAAATCCGCAGCATCCCAGGAACCCCTATTCTGCCCCTTCTTGATATCTACCTTCTCCTTCCTCCCCAGTGGCAATCATATCTCTGACTTTCAACACTTTCATTTTGTTTCTCTCATGTTTGAAAGCCGTATACATGAAATTGATTTAGTGTGTATTCATTTATATCTGGCCTCTGTTCCATTTTATTTTTTGTGATAGTCACCCATCTTGTGTGTGCTCTAATTCTTTTATTATAATGGCTGTATAGTATTCCACTGTAGATCCATTCTACTGTTGACAGAAATTTGAAGTTGTTTCCTATTTTTTTGCTATTACAAATGGCAGTGTGAAAATTCTGTATATTTCTTGGTGCAACATGAACTAGTTTCTGTTGCATATATAACTATGATTTTCTATATTATAGGGTAAACATGTTTAACTTTAGCAAATACTGCCAGTTTTCCAGATACTTTTACAAATTGCTTGTGTACCAAACACAAGGAGAGTTGCTTTTGCAGCACATTCTCAGGAGCATTTGGTTTTTTTTTTTTAATTTTAGCTGTCAGATGGATGTGTAAAAGATTTCTCATAGTTTTAAATTGCATTTTTCTAATCCTAAAGAGGTTAAGCATACTCTCATGTGGTTGTTGGCTATTTGGATATCTTATTTTTGTGAAGTGCCTATTCAAGTCTTTTGCTGGTTTTTCTTCTGGATTATCTTCTTTTAAAAAATGTTTTTTATTCATTTATAGGAGTTTTTTTAAACTTCTATATAGGAGTCATTTTTTTTCCTTTTTATTGTACATATTGCTGAAATCTTTCCCATACGGGGGCTGGCCACGTCTCACCCTGGGCCGTGTCTCCTGGTGGAGAGAGGCCTTCGAGCTGAACGGCGTGTCCTCAGGAGCTGTGCATCACGGTGCCTGCTGCCATCTGGGGTTCCGTGTTTGCCACTGGAAATTAGATGCCCACCAGATCTACGAAGGGGAGGGAAGTGGTCAGAGAGAGAGCCTGGGCAAGCGAAACTTACTTCCCAATTTAACTTTCCAAATGAGAACTTTCCACAATCAATTTGTTCCCAGACCAACTAGGAAAGAAGGGTTTTCTTTAAATACAAACGTGAATTTCGAGAATAGACAATGTGTGGCTTACACCAAGGTGCTGACAGTTTGACCGCGGAGGAGAACAGACAGCTCTCCAGGGCAGAGGTGCTCTGATTGGTGGGCAGAGCGAGGATGTCTCAGGATAGTGGGAGGGTTAGCGAGAGCAGAGCTCACGGCCTGGGCTGTGGGAGGCACTGGGCTGCTTAGGCTCTGGTCCGGTTCACTCTGACCTCAGTCTGGGTCACTGGGCTGAAGTGTTGTGTTGAGGGTCACTGGAGTGGGGGCCCCATTCTAGTGACCATGCTTAGTAACGTGCTGGCCAGCTCAGCTTTGTGCGTTGCCTCAGGGGGACGAGATGAGTGTACAGCGATGGAGAGGGAGAGATTGTGTGCATTTCGGGGAAGGAAACAAGAAAGATCCCATATTTAGATTTAATAATTATCTTTATTTGATGAGAAGTAAATATTACTTTAAGAATTTATAAGAATACTATGGAGAGAGAAATACCTGTATAGACTGAGAAAACTTAAAAAAAATTCCTTTTCTCTGTCCCCATCAATATAGTTGACTTTCTTGAATTTATTATTACTTTATCCAAGAAAGAAATAGTTATTATGACTGTGACTTGAAAAAAAAGAAAAGAAAAGAAATGGTCCCAGGAAAATAGGAGTTGTTGGATTGAAAGGCCCGTGCAGTGCTGACCAGGTGGAGAAATGAAGATGCTCCCTGTCGTTCAGCAGTTTTCAGCTTAACAATAACCCACAACCTTTGGACCAGCTGATTCGTTCAGCCAGCTCTCAGCTTAACGATAACCCACAGCCTCCGGACCAGCTGATTCGTTCAGCCGGCGTTCAGAGCACTCAGACTAAAGAGGAAGTCCTGGAAGCTTGAGAAAGACTTCACTTTCCTAAAGCAGGGGTTTGAGTTAATTCCTCAGGAATATATTCTCTAGAGGATGGATTTAAAAACTCTTCTGTTAAAAGAAAAAGGAAACCTCTGTGGCTACCTTCCCTTCCTTTTCCCAAAAAGAATCCCACCTTTGATCAGAGGCCCGAGGTGTCCCCGGGAGACAGGAGACGGGAAACCAGCGGCAGGCACCTACACAGGGTAAGGGTGGTTCTGGGTGCTACAGGCGACAGAATCACGGGCCACTGTGGTGAGTGGGCAGCAGTGGCTCTGACCCCTTCCTCTGCTTCCAGGCTTGAGGATTAAGCCTGTGTGGGGATAAGACCCACAATGACCTAGAAGTTTCAACCAATCAAATTAGCGACACACTTCCCACATGGCACGCCCCATCCTTCCCTACCACCTTTGGAAGCTGCTGCATTAAATAAATAACCTCATATATAAAGATGACCGTCCAACCAAGAATCACCCAACACTTAAGGAAACATCAACTCAATCAGTAAGAAACTCTAGTTCAGGAAACCGAAGGACTATTACCAAGAAGGTAGTGATAATTGAGTAAACAAGGTGGAACTTCAAAAGTGAATATAATGGAAATAAGAAGAGTTTATTTGTCATAAAATAAGAACAAGCAACTGTTTCAAGAGTCAAATGTAGGCAGGAGAAAGTAGGTGGGATACTGTTTTGATTTAAGGCATGATAATGCCTCTCAGCTGTCTTGAGGCGGTAGTGGAGGAAACCTGTCTCTGGGGAAAAGCTTAGGGGGAAATAGATTTAATATTGCAATATAGTTTTACCTTTGGAAAATAAAAGTGAATTCCTGTTGTTTTCCTTAGCAAACTTTTTGGTGGTTATGGTTAGACATTGCTCCTTGGGGAATCATTCAGATCCTCCGAGAGACACCTGGGACATGGATGTCAGTCAAAGTGGAGGCTTTGGAATGCTTCCCAGTCCCGGTTTGGAATTTAGCCCTGAAAAAGTTTTTCACAGCCATTTATATTTGTAGCCTTCTTTTCGCCTTGAGGCCAAGACCTTGGTTTTACTACCCTGGAGGACAGTGCTCGGATTGGTGGCTGAGGTTTCCTTTCAAACTTCAGGGCTTTCCAGGGGAATGAATGGTCAGTGGTTCTTTCTTACCCAGATGGCTCTGTTTCGGCTTATTAATGGGGTGACAGGGTTGCCACTCTCTACCCTGAGCACGAAGGAATGTCATTTACCCTGGATAATCTTTTTAAATAAGTTGGAAAGAACAGATGCTGAGTTTTATTTCATATTAAGATCGCATTTCCAAGGACCTACTTATTGGGAACTTGATAACCTTGATTAAGTGTACGGGCCACTGGAGTCCTCAGGGTACTTGCGGGTTTATTATCAACCAGGGAGCAGGAGCTCAGATTCCTTGGCAGAGGGCTCCTCGCGGTGAGGAATCATGATCAGTCTTGCTGATTACTATTTGTGCAGGGATTTCGCTCTTTAGTTTAGGAGATCACATTTTATTGAATGAAGGGACTCCATGTTTCTGTTATTTTCCATATTAACTCCCTAACTTTTTTTGTGTTTTGTGTGTGTGTGTGGTTTCAGAGGCCAGAGCCCACCGGTTGCTGAATTTAACTTGCTCCTGAAAGCTCACACTTTGGAAACCTATGGGGTGGATCCCCACCCATGCAAGGTAACTGCCCCTCACAGCAGGTCGATAATTAAATGTTGTTTTGCCCCAAAGAGTTAATTGTTGTGTATGCCTGGCAGACCCCTCCTAGGGCATTTCCACAGCCTGACCCACCGCCCCTAATAGGAAAGGACAATAGCAGGCTGCAGTCAATGTTTTAGTAGCTGGTTTTCTCCGCTGGAGTCTACCAGTTGCTTGCTAATTGCTCTGTAGTGGCCACATGTTCCTGAAACATTCATTCATCCATCAAGTGGATGGTTTTACCACTGAGAAGTCACAGGGTCCTAACATTTATTTTCAAAAATACTGGCAGCAAGAACGTGATCTTAAAAAATGAGAAAGTGGAAGAAAAGATTTAGTTATATTTTGATAGTAGGAGTATTTGTTTTTCTTTTTCCTTTACTCACATTATTTGACAGTATTTCTCTCAAGCATGAAACCCAGGCCGTGTGTGTCAGAATCAGCTGGGCCTACCCCAGAGCCTGTGATGCAGAACCGCTGGGGTGCAGCCAGAGAGCCAGCCTTTCGACCGAGTTCCCAATGCTCATGCACACATTTCCCAGAAATGTTCTACTAGAAATATTCTTTCTTTGTCTTTAAGTATGCATTAATCAGTCACTCACTCGAATCCTAAAGTAAGCAGCGTTTATGTCAGCCAGGCTCTTAAAGGTAATTTTTGAGTCTTACTGGAACATTTCTATACCCAGATGGGACCAGATAATAAGTAGTATTTGGTCAAGTGCCAATCCTCCAGCTCTAGGCTCCAGCTTCTCAGTACAGGCACGAGGGGTACTTCCTAAACTCCTGCTCTCTGGTTCCATCAGGGACTCTTGGGGGGCTCTCCAGCTGGTTCTAGTGTGTAGCCGAGGCTGAGGGCTGGTGGTAGTTGTCCACTCTGGCACATGCCTCGTGTGGTCTGCCCACACAGTTATTTTAGAATGCTTGCCAGAAGCCTCTTCCTAATCATGGTATAAATCAGATTAGTCCATTTAGTGAATTAGATTTTGTCCACAAATCTGTGCCTCTCTGTTTGTTTGTTACTTGGAGACGGACTAGATTTTTGTTGTTGTTCTTTGCCTTTACTTATCAATGCTTAGTTCTGGTTGAGGCTGGAAGTGAAGTAGGAAATAGCTTTATATTAAAATTGCTGGAAATACGGTGTGGGATTGAATTAAATTGGATTAGATGCTCAGGGCTTTGGTTTCACAGACTCTTTGGTTTCAGGGCGAATGACGACCAAGAACAGTTTGTCTACATTTCAGGGCAGATCTGACATCTCTGGTGGCCCCCCAAGACATTGGGAGGTAGAGGCAGTGGTTTGGGATTAACCTGTACCTTCCCAGGAGGTTCCTGCAGAGGCAGAAGCTCTGTTCCTCAAAGGGAAGAGCTACATATGCCTGGACCTCGCCCAGATTTTAGAAGTAGGAGCCTTGGAAATCCCACCTCAGAAACTTAGCTGATTGCTACATTCATTAGAATTAACCTAAAATTAACCCAGGGTGAGGATGAATAAGCATACCACATGTCATTTATTTTATAGTCCTCAAACCAAATATATTTTTATTTCTTTTTTTTCCCTCCAGGATTCAACAGGCACAACAACATTTTTGGGGTTCACTTCTGCAGGCTTTGTGGTATTCCAGGGAAATAAGAGGATCCATTTGATAAAATGGTGAGTACTTCTTTGGAAAAGTGGCTTACCATTTTCCTTAACCTTCTTTTTCATTCCCCACCTTTGACATTTTTTTTTTTTCTTGGAAATGTCAGGTAGAGTGCTTAGTATCCATTTCTTTGCCTTGGGACTTCATTACAAAGGGATTTATTATCTACACATGAAACCCAATCTAGGTTTCCCTGTCTCAGAAGGGAATTGGATTTGTCCAGCTAAAGAGTCCACTCAGGAGACCTGGGTGTGTCTGAGCTCAGGGCCTCTGCCTCCAGAGAGAAGGTGCCCAGTGTTTCCTCAACAGTAGCTTCTGCTCTGACCAGGGCCGTGACCAGCGGATGGGTCAGGGCAGGTAAACCTTCAAATTCTCTCAAGCAACTCAGGACCCAGTCCCTCCATTCACTGTACTTTATTCTGTTGAATCCACTGCAGACTAACTTGTGTTATCCAGTGTATCAGTGAAGATGCTTTGGTCAGAGTAACAGTAATGTCTGCTCACAATGACTTACGAATAAGAGGACTGATGATCTCACCCAGCAAAAGCTAGAGATCAGACATGATTCTTCAACCTAACTGCCCAACAGCACTGTGGAAGACTTGGCTCTCTCCATTTTCTGCTTTGCCATTACGGGGTGGTGGCTCATAAAATGGCATGATCATGTGCACATCTCTGGCCTTCACATCTTCACGGCAACCCCAGAGCCTGGGGAGCAGCTTTGCATGTCTCTGCTATTAAAACACATCTGCCTGCTTAAACCAATCCTTCTGCGAATGGGAGCTCCTGCCTGGGTGGTGGAGTCAAGATTCATGCTCTTGGGACTGGAAGACCATGATCTCCATGAACATGTGACTTAAGAAAGAGTAAAGCCTAGGTTATGTCAATAAAGAAGCAGAAGAGTAGTGGGGTAGGTGGCTGGCAGCACCCACTCTGTCCAATCAAGGAGCAAAGTGGTTATGGTGAAGAGTGAAGTAGGCTGAACATCATATGTGTGATGGAATCTTGGAAAGGTGTAGTCTTACTCATACCTTCAACTTGGTCCAGTTCCCCCTCTGCTGGTCCCTGATGGGTTTGTCACCCCTGTTGTGTCTCACTGGGTGGCAGTCTCGCGCCTTTGGATTGAGTGCTTGAATCTGAAGTTCCTCTTGACGGGCACCAGTGGGCATTCATTCTCTGTCCTGGGTTGGAAATGCTCTCTTGAATTTACCTCAACCTCAGTTTCATGGTTCTGTAGGTTTAGGATTTCTTTCAGCACCTCGTTATCAAGTAGCCCTCTCCACCTTCTTAGCATTCTCCTCTTCCTTTCAGACCTTCTGTACTAGATTAGCATTAGTCCGCTAATGTCCACACCTCTCCCTCCGTCTTTCTGCTGTTTTTCATGATCTCCCTCTCTTTCTAAGATACCCTATTTCTCTAAATATCTTCCTTGCCCTTTCTATAATTGCCTTTTACTCAATTCATACTTTGATCTTCATTCCAGAAAAAGTTCCCTACTGACTTTGGGGAGCATGGGTAATCTGGGGACTTCCTCTGTCTCACTCTAGGGTGTAAGATTCTCAGGTTTTGAAATTACTTGAGCTCTGGAGTAGTTAGGTTAGAACTGGACATGTCTCAAATGCAGATTAGTTGCAAGTCTCTCCATTCTCTGGGCCTCAGTTTCTGCCTGTGTAGACTAAGGAGTTGAGAAGGACAATCTGACCATTTTTTTCTGGGTTCTCCATCTTGGTGTTCCTGGTGGGGTCCTGATGCCAACCCTATCCTTCCCAGCCTCTGCTAGGCACATGTATTTCTTTCTTTTTTATTTTTTTTAATTTTTATTTTTTCCTTTTTATTGATTTTAGAGAGAGGAAAAGGGAGAGGGAGAGAGAGACAGAGACATCGATGAGAGAGAACATAGACTGGCCACCTCCTGCATGCCCCCCACTGCGGATCAGGCCCACAACCTGGGCATGTGCCCTGACCAGGAATCGAACCGGCGACCTCTTGGTGCAGGGTCGACACTCAACCACTGAGCCACACCGGCTGGGCGGAACATGTATTTCTAACAGCTATGTATTGCTACAAAAACAAATTTTCTTTTCACATTAATCCTTGTTTTCTTTTTTTTCCCTTGATTTTAAAACATGCATTTTGTCAGCCTTGCAAATCCTCTACCTAAATTAAAATATCTTTGACCTCGCTCTTCTTTTCCTCCCAGGAAAAGCGCAGGGGCACCACATAGTACTCTCCGAGGAATTAGATCAAAGGAGTAAAAATAGAATCCTCTTTTCTCTTCACATATATTTTCTCACCAAGAAGGTGACCTGGGGTCTACATTTCAGGCAGGTTTTAATCAAGCAGCTCCTTACGATGGCCATTCATCAAGCTGTTCTCCCAATTCTAAGCATCTCCGTATACAATGACATGCTCTTCTATAAACAGGGAGAGCAGGAACAAGAATTTCACATGTGTGCTTCTTGGAGATGGATGTGAAAGGATGAAGGAACAAATACTATGAATCCATGTCATTTCATTAACTGACTCTGAAGTAACCACATCCTTCCTGCCTCACACAGTGGGTTGGTCAATTCATGTTGTCTGGGTTGTTAATGTCCGTGGCATCTCCAGAGCTCCTTGGAAGAAGGGTGCAGCTTAACTGTAAAAAACAAAATAAATAGTTTGGAGCTGCCTGTGGATCCTCTCTTGGGAAGAAAATTGCTGTATAATTCACTTGGGGGCTTTTCGCTGCTCATTAGGCCTTCACCAGTGATAAGATAATATCCTGTTTCAGGGCTGTCTGCTTGGCAGAGTGAGCCAGCTGCATTCCTGTGGGAAAGCCAGGTACCTTGGTCAGTTGCCACTTTTTTTTCCTTCTTACCCAAAGAGATTTTGTTTTCATAGGCCTGATGTCTGCAAATTGAAGTTTGAAGGGAAGACATTTTATGTGATTGGCACCCAGAAGGAGGTCAGTACTGCTTTTCTAACTCTGTGTGTGTGTGCGCGTCGCACGCGCGTGCACGTGTGCCCATGAGAGAGATTCAAGCATTTGGAATTGCAGCCCCCAAAGACCAAGACTTTAAAGTTTGTGGTGATAATGGAAGCTATATGCTGAGAATATTTGAGAGGTAAACAAGTAAACACTGGGCTTGCACATTTAGAAATAATGTCAGTGAACAATGCTGAGTGAATACCCCTGTGTAAAAAACAGACTGGGATAGACTTGAAATTTAGCAAATGGGACTTTTCTCTAGCTCTGTAATTTGCCAAAATACAGATTCATGAAACAATTGGTTGATTACAAAGCTTGTATCAACCAATGATGGTTAGAGTTTTATAAACAGAGTCCATACGATCCAAGAATCTTAAAAGAGTTACCAGACAGAGGTTGGGTTCACCAGGGAACGTGTTTGGGAGGAGGTCAATACTGAAACTTGGAGCCTCAGAGCTAGGCCTAGAGGTTTGCAGAATATCCTGACCCTTGTTTTTAGTTCAAGCACTACTTGATCAAGGTGGGCAAATGTGTTTTTAAACTAATCCCAGTCTTATCGAGAGGTAGGTGATGGCTGGAGAGTTGAAGATTGTGAGGCAACTTTTTATCAGAAACAGGCCTGGATAGATTAGTGATGTCAGCAAAGGTTGAGGGTGGGGATACCATTGCAACAACACTTTTAAGAGCCTAGTAATGCACAAGTTACTTCAAATCTGCTTGGTAGATGTTGGAATACAAAAGGTAAATACTTGAAAGAAAAAAATGAAAAACATAAACTGTGTTTAACATTCCCTTTTTGGTTGTGTTATTTTTTATTAGAAAAAAGCCATGTTGGCATTTCATACTTCAACACCAGCTGCCTGCAAACATCTTTGGAAGTGTGGGGTGGAGAACCAGGCCTTTTATAAGTAAGTAGCTTTTATTCATTTAATCATAGGCTTTAAAAACACCCAATGAAACCTTTATGTTTTGCAAACAGATCCATGTTTATTTCTTTAATATAGTCCTCCTTATATTTAAGTGACTTATGAATTTGGTGCACTGTTCTGGGTGATTCCCTACCACTGTTGACCTGAGCAAGTCCTGAGCTCCATGTTGGCTGTTTCCCATGGAATTGCTGTGGGTTGGTTGTTGAATTTTATTGGTCATGGCTATTTTCATTCAACATGTCACAGGATCTGTTTTTGGTTGGCTTCCCTGCTCTGAAGCAGACCTTGAGAAGAGTTCAGTGCAGGTGTTTTTTGTTTTTTTGGGGTGGGGGGAAGTTGTCACTGAACATACAGTTGGCGAGTAGGGAAGGAAGACGAGGAAGCAAGCAATGTAGGAGTCACCATTGAGCAGGTCACTCTGTGGGCAGCTGGGCTCAGCATTGTAGGGGAGCTCTGGCAGACTGCAGAACATGCCTCAAATTTCACCCACTGACCGGCAAAGAGGCTGGCTTGTTTATCTACCAATTCCTCATTCATTTTGGTTGAGGGCCACTTTGGAGGGTAGAGTTGATACTCGTTGGCACTTCTGGCCTGCTCTGAGCTTGGGTTGAATGTACTCTCATGACCAGAAAATGAAACCTTTGGCAGAGAGTCACACATGTTCGTAGCAAGAAGCCTTCAGTATATAGATTTGAGAGCCAAAGGTTTATGGATGGAATGCTATCGGAGTCTGGGATCATAGAAAGTCAGTGCTGGCTGAAAAGGACTTCAGAAACCATGCATAAAGCTGTCAGGTTTCCAAAGAGGTTTAAATTTAGGATCTTTCCACTGAGTTCTAGCTTCTCCTCTTTGAGACAGACTTGCTGATTGGAAGAGCAGTGGCGATCTACTCAGTTAAGAATCTACTCCAGCCTGTCAGGGTATTAGCACCGCTGACCCCTGGAGCTCATTCAGGTGGTTTTGCTTAGCCTCTTGCCAGCCTCCCCCCAACCCCAACTGAGATCCGTTTTACTCATTAGACTCACTTTCCTGAAAATGCTGCATCTCTGGACCTCATGGGCTTTGGTTGATGAAGACCATTAGGAGAACGGTGGCGTGCATAATGATTTACAAACTCCTTTCAGCCACAGAATTATTTTCCTTAAATAGAAATGTATGTGAAGTCCAGTATGTAAAAGAAACAAACAAACAAAAAAAGAGCAGCTGTGGTTGTTGGTGGGGACTGGAGTTGGGATTGGGGACAGGAGACCATACATCCATTTCTTGTTTTTCAGGAGCTGGGTGACCAGTTGTCCCAGTTTGCCTGGCCTTTCCCAGGTTTAACACTGAGAGTCCCATGTCCCAGGAAACCCGTCAGTCTTGGGCAAACCCTATCAGGTGCAAAATTTGCAAACCCTTGGATGAGATGATCCACAAAATGTGATGCTTCTAGCAATGACAGGAAGAGGTGATGCATATCAGTAGATTTTCTCCACAATCATCACCAACCCAAGGCATCTTTGTGCTCCTTGCCATGTCTGGGGACTGGTAAGAAAGGTATCCAATGGCCTTTGAAAAATCAGCATGTCCATGTGAAAGCTGAGAAAGGGAAATACAAAGGGATTGGTCCTCTCAGTCTTTTGTTGAAGTCTACCTATTTTTTGTTTTTGTTTTTAAAACATTTTAAAACTGAGACAATACATAACATAAAATCCTTCTTTTTAAAGCATAATTCAGTGGTTTTCGTTTAATTTATGAAGTTATACAACCATCACTACTAATTTTAGAACACTTTTATCAACCCAAAAGAAACCCTGTACTCATTTATAGCCTTTCTTCACCTCCCCCTCTCCCTAGACCTTGTCAATCACTAATCTACCTTCTATGTGTATGGACTTGCCTGCTCTGCACATTTCCTGTAAATAGAATCATAAACCTCTGTGGCCTTTTGTGGCCAACTTCTTTCACTTAGGTAATGTTTTCAAGGTTTATCCATGTTGTAGCATGTATCAGTACTTCATTTCTTCTTATGGCTGAATAATATTCCATTGTTTAGATATACCACATTTTGTTTGTTTATTCATAGGTTGATGGACATTTGGGTTGTTCTCTGTTCTCTGTTTTTAGGTATTATGAATAATGTTGCTATGAATATCCATATAAATTTATTTTCTGTCAATAGTTCTCTTAGGTTTATACCTGGGAGTGTAATTGTGGGGTCATAGGTAACTCTGTATTTAAATTTTTGAGAAACTGACACACTCTTTTTGGCGACTAAGATTTTGGAACTCTTCTGCTCCTCTGTTCATGAAATCATCTGCTTCCTGTCAAATAATAATTGAGAGATATTTAGTTAGTTATTTTGAATGAATATTTTCTTGCAAATGAGGGAGTTAGAGTCTTGAAACAAAACAAAATACATTATGACATTATTTTATTGTAGATTTTAACATCTGATTAGATCTGATCTTGCTGAGGGTAGGATCTAGGTTCTGTTTATCTTTATATTTCCTAAAGACCCCAGGCATTCTAAAAACATTTACTGGATCAAATTGATAAAGCATAGTTCCTGTGTCAGAAGATTCATAGTTCATGATAGAGGCTAAAAGGGAAATGCAAATAAAATGCTAGAGAGGAGTCAGGAGGAGGGGGAAGTCTTACTGGGGGGGGGGGTAGAGAACATTCTGAGTAGGGGACCATGGTGGGAAGTGGGCGACATATACTGAGAGGATGAGCAGTTACACTTGGCTGGAGCAGAGCATAGATGAATGAAATACAAAGGGAGGTGATGAGGGGCCAGGAGATCTTGGGGCCAGATACAGAGGGCTCAGCCACCATGGAGGAGATGTCAGAGGAGCGCTAGGTGGGGTTGATCTCTACTGACCCACAGACAAGTGTAAGGGGGGATGGAAGGGGAGAACACCCCGCAGACGGGCTTTGAGAGCCAACCCAGTAAGCCCTCTTTGGAAGCAGCACATCCTTGAAGATCCTCTAGTGCAGTCACGGGATCTCTGTCAAGGAATAGCTGAAGATATTAATCGGTTCTTTTGCACACATGCTGTTTCATCCTGTGTGAGGGGTTCAGATAGTAGATGGAGTCAACTATAAGTCAAAAAACAACTGAACAGAGGAGAGACAAAGGAGAGGAGAGAAGAAACTGCAGTCTGAGGATCTGTTTTGCACATTTTGAGGTACAGTCATTAGCTGGCAGCTGGCAAGGTCAGTCTGACAGTTCTGTCATTGAAGGGGCCAACTAGGCATCTCAGAGAAGCCAGTCCAGTCATCTGGGAAGGCTTCGGAAGACGCGGGAGGTGGCTGTGAGCTCAGTGGCACTGTCCAGAGTTATCCGAGTCTCTGCATCAGCTCCTCTGCTATCGTTAGGCCAGGCTACCCCTCCTCTCTCTTATTGGAACTTCTAATCCCCAATATTTGTACTGATCTGAGAGTTCCCCAGAACCTTTTGTTCCTCCATGATCCTGTCACCATCCCTGTTCCTGGGGAAGAAGGAAAGAGTGCTTGTTATGAGACAGCTGTGCGACCTTGGACAGGTCTCCGGCCTCAGCCTTGTCATCTGTAGAATGGAGCGACTGGACTCGCGCTTTGCTTGTCTCACGGTGGCCTGGTGTTAAGGAGCGTGGGCTTTGAACCTCGACTCTGTCGCTTCCTAGCAGTGTGGCCTGGAACAAAGCCCTTGAATGCTTTGAGCCTCATGTTCGTTTTTCGTCTGTAAAATGTGATTGGTAACACCTGCCTCGCAGTGCTTTTCTGCCAGGCACAGGGACCATCTATAAATGGTAGCGGCTGTGACTGCCACTGCTACCCGCTCCACGAACGATGGACGTTTTCTGAGTGCCAGTGGACTGCAGAGCCCAGTCCATCGGATTCTGAAGGGCTCTGATTCTGTTAACCTCAGGGTGGCTGCCTGCTTCTTCCACGGCGCCGTCCTCTTCCCAGGCACAGGCCCTGGCCCCACTTCCAGCCCCGTCTGCCTGGCACAGCGCTCGAATGGTTTTGGCTGGCACAGCAAGACCCGGGTCTTGTTTCCTGGGTTGGGGGTGGTGTGTCCCTCCTTTTCACTTCACCTGCCATGGGAACAGGGAGGCCTGGTGGCCAAGAATTCCCAAGTGTGCTTTCAGCTCATGAATGTGCTACTAGTCGTCAGCTGGCCCGGGGCCACTGATCCGGTTTGAAAGCCCTGGCTCTGAACTCTGCTGCCTGGGAACAGAGCCCAGAAGTAGAAACTCTGATTTTCCCTCCTGCTTCAAGTCCCACAGGATCCCTGACACAGACTTAGTCACATTTCAGAGCTCCCTTGATGCCATGTGTTTTCTGGGTGCTCTATCCCCTGAGCCCCAGAGCTCGCCACTGCAGGGTGCTGGTGCCCTGAGAGCACCCTGCGCTCGCCGGAGGGTTCCGCGGTCACTGGGGTTTCCGCACCTGCTTTGTGCCGTGCACTGTGCTGGCCCTGGGGACACGGCGGAGGCTCCGATGAGACTCTGCCCCACCGCTGTTGGCCCCGTTGTGTGCAGGGGATACAGGCAGTCCCTCCGCAGCTCTTGCTCGGAGGTCGGTGTGCATTTCGTCAGAGGACAGTTACACTCGGTAGAAACGGCCCCAGAGGAGCTCCCTGCACCAGCGCCCCTCACACTTTGATGAGCACACAGATCACCTGCAGGTCCTGGGAGCCTGGGGCTCTGATTCAGGGGGTCTGGGCGGGGCACAGGAGTCCACATTTCTAGTAAGTTCCTGGGGATGCTGGACTGCAGGCCCTGGACCACCCCTCGAGGATGAGGTTCCAAGCCAGAGGTTCTCAGCCCTGACTGCACATGGACTCACCTGGGAGCTTTTGAACACACCTACGCCGTGGGCCTCCCCCAGACCCAGCTCAGTGAGAATCTGGATCCACACAAAGCGTGTCTAGGAATGTCCACAGCGGCGTTATTCAGAGCAGCTAAAAAGTGGAAAACCCCGATGCCCATCAACCGATGCAAGGATAGAGG